CACACAATTAAATAGCAATAGATTTTTTTCTAACATTAACTATTGGAAAGGCCAATCTTTGTTCTATCGGCAATACCATGCATGATACACCAAATCAATAACTTTGTTCTCGACAGAATATTTCGTAGCGAAAGTTCACTGAATAAGAGGAGGATGATGATGATGATGATGATGATGAGAAGAAGAAGGAAGAAGAGGAGGAGGAGGAGGAGGAGGAGGAGGAGGAAGGCACTCTCGTTCGCGATAAATGGAAAGAGCAAGCAAGCAAGCAAGGGCTCGTGAACAAGTGGGTGGTTAAGGGATGCGCGCGCACACTTTTCCGTTGGAAACTAACACGCGGTTCTCCTTTCTCAAACCGCGGCTGCTTTCTTGCTTGTCCTCCCACGTGCCAGCAGCAACAGCAACAGTAACAGCAGCAGCAGCAGCACGAGCTTCAAACGCTTAGGAAGAAATAAATCTAAAACGGACGCTCTCTCTCTTTCTTGCTCTATCTCGCTATTTATCTATCTTTTTCTAACCCACGCTGAGTGAGTGCTTACTTAGTCCAGCAGCAGCAGCAATCAAAGTTAAACAAACAAAATTACGTATATTTCGTACTATTTCGATTATCCTACTACTATTTTTTCATTCGGATCTTCCAATTGGTTTTTTTTTTCTTTCTTTTCGTCAATCGTCTTAAGAACCATCGATGGGTTATTAAATTTGTAAAAATAAATATTTGATGATTCAAATCTCCATGAATATTTGTTGTTTTTTATTTTATTTTGGTTAAATGTATACGCGTCAAAGAGTTTTTATTAGAAGTGGAATTTTGGGGGGGTGGGGAGAGCAATGACAATATTTTCTTTCGTTTCTACGCTTATGCACACCCACCCGAGTACTCACCGGTGACACTCATCCTTCTTTTTTCGTTCAAGTTTTCTCAGTGCTAATGCTATGATAGGAAATGAGAGAGAGAAAGAGAGAGAGAGAGAGAACGGAAAGGAATCATAGAGACGTAGCACACATTGGCGTAAACCTATCAATAATTTATGATCTTACACTTTAATAGTTACAAAAATGCACTAAATTATGAACATTATGAAGAAATTCAAACAATTAATTTTTATTCATTTCTAACTAATCATAAAATAATCCTTTCCAAAATATTATTTTTTTAATTAAAATTATATCTCAAGAAAAAAAAAGAAATAATAAATTATATTTATTTCTGTGATCTAATAAAAAAAAAAAAATCGGAAATGGTGATATCGTGCCGATGAAATTTTCAAACCTAACATAGAGAATGTGTAATATTTTCTAACGAGGACCGAATTAGGTTCTCTCCACAAGTTACAAATTGGTACTTCCTGTTTGATCGGAAGCGCACGTGTTGGTATTTCATTATCGGGATAGGAACGAACTCAATATGTATTAGGAAAAAAGGCTTGGTGGTGAGAGCTAGCTAGCTAACTAAGTAAGCCAAAATCGAGTAAGTCAAACGGGAAGAGAACGGGCGTCGTTGACGATGATGGTGGTGGTGGTGGTGGTGGTGGTGGAGTAGGAGGAGGAGGAGGAGGAGATGGAGGAAAAGATGGTGGTGGTGGTGGTGGCTGTGCCTCGTACAAACTATAAAGCTTTCTAAATCGGTGCGGGTCACGAAAATATACTTCCGGTTCCCGTCTCGCGTGCTAGCATGCTCGCTACGCCACATCTGCCAGTGAGTATGCCAAGAACGACTTTCCCAATTTTTTCGTTACGTCTTTTTAACGCGACCCTGC